GGTGAAGGGCCCACACTGAAAAGTATATTTTTTGAGTGGAGGATAATGGATACAGTATTTGAAAAAGCAACTCAAATTTGTGCAGAAAATTACTAGGAAAACAGGTGCATGGAATCGTAATTACTACTTAACTAATACATTAGTTGAAGGATTCACCAAGGTCTAATTTTTGGCAAAAATTGCAAGAAAACCGGCCTTTACTTTCTGAAATGCACGGCCACCGTCAGAAATGCTAGGCCACCTTACAAAAAAGTCCTTGGCCCTAGCATAGAACAAAGCTGTGCCTGAAAAATACACTTAATTGTACCGGATTGGTTCAAACTTATACAGGAGCAGATCGAAAGATGTGCGCAAAGGGGGTGGGGGGGCCAATCAAGAGACACCACTAGTTTTGTAGACGCCCGAAAATGACCTTTCAGGGGTTTTTGGCATCAATAATTTTGTTTTGCTTTCTTTTTAAAATATTTTTTTAAAACTTTCCAACACCCCCTGTTATTTAATAGAATATTTAATGGATTGTCTACAGGCCTAAAACTATATAGTATTTGTTTATTGTAAAAAATTATACATTAATAGCAATAAATTACCTTTACTCTTGAGTATCAAAGCTGCTACAGCACTATCCACACCCCCAGATATTGCACACGCTACATGGCTCACAGTCCTCGACAGTCCATTAAATAAAGAACTTGTCATCACAAAAAAATCAAGTTTTAATAGAAAGTTAAAAGTAGGCCTACTTTTTGATAATCTGCCAGAAGTAATACTGGAGTTGGCTAGGCCTATACCACAGGTTAAATCATAATCTGTAGGAGACGAAGAATCCGTAGACCGTACTCTTGCTAGGCCGTAGAACTGGATGGTAAGACTAGCCTAGCTGGGGCCAGGCCACGCGATACTATAGACTACTAGGCCTAGGGGCCTAGGCCTACCCTATCGCTGGCTGACTCAGGGCCTAAACTACTAGACTTGGTAGCACTACAAAGTAAAATCTCACAAAACCTAGGACTATACTGGTTGCCGAATAAAAAAATGTATTTCGCATAACATCAGAGTGTTTGATCATAAGCTCAAAAATGAAAACCTAGGCCTGGGCCTACCCTCTCCAACAGGCTTAGAACATGTTGCTGTGCTTGAAAAATCCAAAAACTGAGAGGACGCCACCAATTTTCCCGAAACGTAAAACTTTCGTGACAAAAATAACTATCCGGCAGAACATCAAGTTGATTTAACAGGGGCGGAACTGGGGGAGGGGGGGGGGGGGAAGTTGCACGTGGGCCCGTCCTCCCTACTGGTAAAAAAATAAAGGGAAAAAAGAGATAAAATATTCAAATTTAAAGTCCGGGCATCTAGAGGTGCCAATAATCATAATTTGCTTTGCGACTACCCAGCTATAGACTTTAGGTCCTTGATTAGACCTTTGCGAATGAAGGGGTGTCTAAGATAGGATCCCGTCGGGTGGAAGTCAATAATTTTGTCGAGTAACACTGCTTTGAAAAAGCATTTTTACCATCTGAGAGTGCCATTTCCGAGCGTCTAGAGGGGTCTATTCTTAAAATTTGTGGATGTGGAATACATGGGTCCCCCGTCAGACGATTTCTGGATCCACCCCTGTTTATATACCAAAAATGTTTGTATATATGTTATATATATTGTTTTAAGTTCAATATCTTTTTTTTTTCATTTTGATTTTCTTTTATTCTTTTTACTTGTGATCCACTTGTGATACGTGCTACGTCACTGAAAGTGTAATCACACAACAGACAGAGAAATAAATAAATAAAAATATTTCAAAAATTGCATGATGACATCTCGAAAACTGCTGGCAATTTTTGTTGCAGATGTTTATATAACCACATTTTGTGTGTTTTTTTTTTAATAAAAAGAAGCACTGAAAATTTAGTTCTTATCTGTGAAAGCTATATGTACGATATGATCGAGAAGATGGATGTACGCACTCTAGATGATAAAAGCATTATTTTGTATATACTTCTCATAGTCATATAATTCAATTTTGGATAGGATTCATTTCGTCCCAAGTCATTATGTCAGCCATGATTTATTAAAAAATGGCGGACATGAAAAACCTATACAATATAAATATCTCAGCACCTAAAAAACTACTGTAATGATTATAATTCTGGTGTCTAATCATATATTTATCATTTTAAAAAATATCATAATACTATTTTTGATATTTTTAGATGATTACAGGTAGGCCATTACAGGTCATTCAAGGTCATGTTATGTAAAATATTGTATAAAATCAAAATAATAAGATAATTAATTAATTTATAAAATATTCTAAAACCCAACATCATAGCTTTATATAGTCCAGGAGACAAGGCCAGTTTACTTTCTTAAAATGCCTACATGTCTAGTTAGTATATTATTTGAAAATGCCATCCTGCGGCGGTCTTGGAATTGTCCATCTGATGGAACATAAGTCCTGGACTAACAAGTCACAGTACAATAGAGGTCATTCCATGTCAATTTTAGTATGAAACCATAATCTGGGATATTAAAATTAGGCCTATATAAAAATATAAAATGCAATTATGTTGCACATTTCACTATGGAAACTTATAAAATTGTCTATTCAATTATATTAAACCTATTTTGTAAATATATGTTTCATATACACACATGTTTATCATTTTCTGTTAAAATTTGATGTTTTAAAGATGTTTTTACTTCCTCTTTAAAAATACTGAAAAGCGAGATATTGCATTATTCTCTCCGAATTTGACCAAATGACCATTAGACAAAAAGGGAGACTGAAACTATTTACTATTTTTTGAAAGGTCATCCCGTGGGGGTTCTGAAACTGCCCATCTGATGGGACATAGGGCCTAAGTGCTGGAATACAGGTCAGATGTCAATAATGGTGATTCCATGTTAATTTCACTATATGAAATCATAATCTGGAATAAAACATAATACAACGTCATATATCTAATGCAATTACCTTGTACACGTCATAAAGGTTACAAAAATTGTCTATCTAATGATATCAAATAATTATAGTCTTCTAGAAATGTTTAGGTACATTTGTTTGGGAAAACACAAACTTTTTGTCATTTTTTGGTAAAATTTTATACTATGTTTAATGTACTTAGGCCTACTTCTTGTTTAAAAATACTGAATGAACAGACATTGCATTATTACTATTCTTTCTCAGAGCAGTGGCGTACCGGTAACTAGGTTCTGAGGGGCCTCGGTTCGAGGTATCCGTCGCATAGTTTCCAACCTGAGAGCAAGGGCGCAGATCTGTTTTGAAGGTGGGGGGGGGGGGGGGGGGGGGGGGGGGGGGGGGGGGGGGTTGAGAAGACACTCAACTCAGCCCCACCATGGTTGAGACTGCGGTGCGAAAATTTTTAGGAAATAGTACCGTACCTTTGATGGCCGAAAATGACACCTTTATATAGTAAAATTCATCATGATCACATAACCATTATTTCTCACAGTGGCGGATCCAGGAATTCAAAATACAGGTGGGCCGGGAAGGTTCAAAGATGGAGATCGACCACCTCAGACCCAACATGGTTGGGGCAGAGGTAAGAAAATGTGATTATGACACCTTTAAATGGCCGGAAATTGCAGCACTCGAATAATTTAGGCGGAGGTGGGGGCGGGCCGGCTACCTACCCCCTCCTTGAATTCTTGAATTCGCCACTGAAAGTGGCGGATCCAGGAATTTGAAATAGAGGGGGCACAGAGAAGGACTTACACAGATGGAGGGGCTGAGGTAAGGAAATGTATGATTATAGCACCACTGGACGGCAGAAATTTCACTCTTAGACTTAAATTTGAGTAGAATTTTCTTTTTTTTCTCTCATTTTTGTTAAATTTTGAAAAAAAATAGGGGTGGGGGCTGGGTCTGTCCTTAAATCCGCCACTGGTTTAATATATTAATTCAGTATTTATTTGACAATACTCGAATCTCTATCAGGTCTACTCGTGTTTTCTAACTTGTATGTATATCGACGGTCCAGGGTCCAAGCCTTTAAATAATTTACTATTTGATAACTTGTAAACACATGGTAAACATAAACTCTAGAGTAGTAGAAGCATAATATATTTCCTCCATGGTAGAAGTCATGAGAATATTCATGAAAAAGAATTAGAAGCGATTAATAACGAGCTTTCATCGATAAACGGCCAGCTTTATTTACAATTCTCGTGGGAAAAACACATGAATGATACTGGATGAATATATACGTTTAATTTTTAAAAATTTATTTAATTTAGTTTATTATGTTTTACCTAGTTATCCCGGGCCCCTGACGAGCCAGGCCTCGGTTGCCCCAGCAATAAGCATTCAGAGCGAGAGGTTTAATAAAAATAGAATTATATCTCATATCATTATAACACATGCGTACCGCCGCACCGATCCGACGGACGTCTGTGGTGCGATTTTTTTAAACACACGATAAAGGCGTATGACCAGTGGGGGAGCGTCAAAGTGCGAGGCACTTTAAAACACGCTAAAGTGACAATACAATCAAACTATTATCTGCAGGGTCCAATTTTCATAAGTACTCCAAAGCCAATATGGCTTTCAAAATGGCCGCCCTATGCACTGCATCCAAGCTAGAACTTCAAAAAAAATATTCTAATGTGTTTTTTCCCGTTTTATAGAAGAAACTTAATGAAATTGATTAAACGTACAGTTCAGGCAGCATAAGGAATCTTTGAGAAAACTACAACCATCCGGGTATAAAAAGAACATCGTGTTATCGTACCGAATACTCAGTACGGTACGTCCCCAAATAACAGCGAAAACAACTCGCAAGTGATTCGGGTGGGAACCGAACCCACGACCTCCAGGTATCTAGTCTGATGTCTTAACCACTAGACCACTGAGCTTGCGTTTAGTGAGTGATGAATCCGTTCCCTAGTTTTCCACCCGAATCACTTGCGAATTTTTTTCGCTAGTATTTGGGGACGTACTGAGTATGACAAGATAACACGTAAGGTAGGGCAAAACATCATTCTATGATATTTTACTTACGCAAATTCATGTCTTTATACATTTTGTAGTTTGACTTTATAGAACACAGTCTTTGATTGTAAGCTAAATATTTCCACTAGCAGCCCCTAGCATACACCCCATAAAATAAGGTCTTCCACTGCGTGCAACAGTTTACGACAAACAGACAAACGGCGTACAGCGTTCACACAGGCCGCAGATAGATTCGTCAGTCAACGCAGTGTGTCCGCTCTGATATATTACGGTAAACGCCAGATTATAATATGCTACATCAGTCGTGGTCCACACATCATTCGTTTGTGTCGTCATACTGTAATTTTTACTATGTTCAATATGTGAATATTTGGCCTCAGTCAGCGAGGCAAGCCATTTATAAACACAATGGCATTCATTTCTGATGATGACATAATTAATGTCGAAATATTGAATTCCAACAGGATGGCGTGTATTTCAATACTTGGAGTATGTACTTTACTTTCTTGGCATTCAATCTCCACACAAAGAACTGATATATAACCATAATTAACGACGCGTGTACCTGATAGTATTGTTTAGCTTTTATAAAGCAATTTTTTAAATATAATTTTTTAATACCAATGCAGTAATACATCTAATAAAATAAATGAATGTTTTAAACGACATGTTTCGACGTGTCCCACGTCATCATCAGGCAATATCGCTGTGCTACTGACGTCTTAAATACTGCCGGTCAGATGTAAGGTGAAAACAAGCAAATATTAAGGTAAGTCATGTATATAGAGGTCAGGAATGCTATGGTAAGTCATGTATATAGAAATTAGAATTTTTTAAATATTAATATAATATTTTTTGTCAAATAATCTACAGAAGACTGAAGTGCCGGGGATATTTCTCCCTCGTCGAACAAGCATGGCAACCTCAGCCTGATGCGACGTCACCAGCGTGACCACTCACAATTTTTGATATACCCATGCATGACCCATGGAGGTATACAAATTTTATACCTCCATGATATACCCAGTGACTGGGTCGAAATTACCCAAGATTCAGCAAAAATTGCCCAAAATTACCCAAGCTTCCTGAAAATGCATTAAAAATGTGAAAAATACGTGTTTATTGCATGTCTAGTTCCCCTTTTAGTTCAATTTATAAACCATTTTTTATTGTAATTGTTTGTATTAATTATTTAAAATTAATATTCATGAGGTGATAATACGGATAGAAAAATGCGCTCTCAGTCGGCCAGTGTTATCAGTAGATCAGTGATCAAGTTTTATTATGTAATGCATTAATTAGGTAAGAACAATGGCAACTCAAATCACAAATAAACAATTCTAAACCCATGTTTATAGCAATTAACAGTCAATTAACAACGTGCACTTCGTTGAGTTTTGCTTACTTGAATGGACTGAAATATACTTTGTTACTTCTTAATTCTTCCTCTATGACAAAAATATTTAATTTTCTTAGTAAAAATAAACCCAAGACCAAGTCAAAATACCCAAGATCTTGGGTAAATACCCAAGCAGTGGTCACGCTGGACGTGACTATAAAAAAAATTGTCCCAATCCAAACCAGTGACGGATTCAGGAATTCGAAATAGAGGGGTGTCCAGTGAGGAACTTTCAAAAAAGTAGAGGCCCCGATCCACCCACCTCAGCCGGCCGCGGCCCTACTATGGTTGGGGTTGAGGAAAAGAAAATTTATGATTATGACACCTATAGATGGCAGAAATGGAGCTCTCAGACTTAAATTTTAATATAAATAATTACATGTTTTGTTTTTTCTCCATTTTCTTTTAACTTTCAAACAATTATGGGGCCCCGGTTCGGCTTGGCGGCTTTCCCCCTTGAATCACCACTGGGGGGTCACACATCAGCCCCACCAATGCAACATGGTTGGGGCTGAGGTTAGAACATTTACGATTATGACACCTCTGGATTGCCGAAAATGCACTCGCAGACTTAAATGAGAATAATATTTCAAGTGCAACCATAGATAGAGACAAGATGAGGAAACAACCAAATTCCTCAAAACGCTGTATAAATACATTATTTGCTTGTACGAGTAATTAGAGAGTCCTAGCTGGAAACTGCTTTGATTGATCAAGGAGTTTTGGTGGATGGATTTCTGGAAAATGTGAGAGTGTGCTTGGAATTTTCTACCCCGGAGAATGTGGACCTTTGGTGATTGGGGTGGGGGGCGTACCAGTATATTTAATTGGTACACATGTGTGGTGTAAAAGCATAATGTTTACCATCATATCCATAAAACCTCTCTCTTTGCCCACAACAGGGTATCATTAATCCAGGTCTCACTGGAAGGGCCTAGATGGCCCTGGTTCGGACCACTCACATATTGGGCCCACTTTCAGCAAAATGTTGGAGTAGGCCCATGTATTTGATCAATTGCTTCCGCACCTCCTATGACGTAGGATTTGTTCTTGTCAATTGTGACTTATCAAAGTTCAGTTTAAATGTAAATATGAAGAGATACGATTGAAAGTAAATGATTAGGCGTTAGACCAGCTCCGAACGTGAACACGTTGGTAAGGTCAGACTATAGAAGATCATATTAGGCCTACTGGAAATACACGCAGTTTATGTGTAAGTTAACATATAATTTATGCATTCGAATGTTTATATTTTTAAAGTTTCTGTTTGTGTCTGGAAATGTATGTTGACACCAAGGACTGGGGACTCCCTATGCGGCTACAGCCGATGCGTCCTTCATGCATAATTATCCCGACGGGGATATATCTAGTTAAATGTAAATATTTAAAATTCATTTTATTTATTACAGAAGTTAACAAATCTTATCTTGAGTAATTTTCCCATGTCCTAAAATGTGAAACTTTTTCATATATTGGGGAAAATTTTTGAATATTCTGTCTTATTCCCCACGGTTTGCAAAATCCTGGAGTCGTCTTCTTTCCACATTATAACATGTTGACGTAACGTAAGAGCAAATATTGACGACATGGGTTAAAGTGTCTTGAAAGTAATCCTGTAATCCTATATGGATGTTATCTGTTTAGCCTACTCACCGCCTACTCAATGCTTATTTTATTACCCCACGGTGAAAGTTCACTTGCAGGTCCTACGTTTATCATATATCT